CAGCTCCGTCACCTCCCGTGTCTACCAGGTGTCCCGCACCTCGGCCGTCCCCACCCTGTCCAGCTTCCGCACCACCCGTGTGACGCCTCTGCGCTCCTACCAAAGTGCCTACCAAGGTGCTGGCGAGCTGCTGGACTTCAGCCTGGCCGATGCCATGAACCAGGAGTTCCTCCAGACCCGCACCAACGAGAAGGTGGAGCTGCAGGAGCTCAACGACCGCTTCGCCAACTACATCGAGAAGGTGCGCTTCTTGGAGCAGCAGAATGCCCTCATGGTGGCCGAGGTGAACCGCCTGCGGGGCAAGGAGCCCACCCGCGTGGCTGAGATGTACGAGGAGGAGCTGCGGGAGCTCCGGCGTCAGGTGGACCTGCTCACCAACCAGCGGGCTCGTGTTGAGGTCGAGCGTGACAACCTGCTCGATGACCTGCAGAAGCTCAAGCAGAGGTGAGAGGAGGGCCCCGGCACGTCACTGTGGGCATCCATCTGTGCATCTCCATCCCTAGGGATGGGTGCAGCCCCTTGGGTGCTCACTGCCAACCTTATGCCTGTGCTTGGAGCCCATCATGGTCCCACTACTCTGTCCCCCTTGCCCCATCCTCTAGTGTGGGAAAGCACCTTGGCTGTGGCTCTTACTGGCTGGACCTGCCTTCAGGGCACTTTGCAGGGTGGAGAAGGAGGGAGAAGAGCACTTGTAACCCACGATGCCAGTGCTGGGTACTTCCAGATCCACAGTGTGGGGCAGACAGGGAGAAGCTGTGGGGTGGTGGTGTGGGGTCAGGCTGGGCGAGAGATGTGCCCACAGCCTGGGCATCGCAGCAGGGCACTCTGGACGGCTACTGCCAGCCCTCGCTGGACCCCTGGGAAGCACCCAACAGGCAAGACAGCTCTGGCAGGCAGAGGTGTCCTCTGTGCCCTCCCTTGCAGCAGGGTCGAGGCCAGCTGTGATGTGACAAGACCCCCAGAGTTGGGGGATCAGAGTGTCTCCCCTGGCGTTCCCACCACTGCTTACATCAGGGAGGGCTGGTGAGCCCATGGGCCAGCTCAGCCCCACAGGACAGACAGACGGACAGAGGCAGCCAGGCAGGCGGAAGTGAGGGGGAGGATGACTGGGGGGGGTTGCTCCACCAGCTCTGGACTGAAGGATGGAGGGGAGGAAGCGGTCGCACTTTCGCAGGCCAGGGATGCCTCAGGCTTGCCGTGGGTGTCCACAGTGTCCTGAGAGCAGTGGGGACCCCCCAAGGGTGCTGTGGGCCTGAGTGGTGCCAGGGAGGGGGCTGGGGCCATAGGGAATAACCCCACAGTTGGCCAGGCTGAGTGACCCCCCCCATGGACTGACCAGCGTAGGGGCACTTGGCAGCATGGGTGGATGCTCAGGGGGGGAGTTTCTTGCCCTGGTGCTGGTCTGTGCCTTCCCTCCTGGCCCCTGTGCCCCAGGGATGCTAAGTCCCTATCTCCTGGGGGTGACACAGCCTGCTGCCTCCCCCCCACAGTCCCAGCCAGCCAGTGCTGGCGTCCCAGTGGGGCAGAGCCCCTGATGCTGGAAGGCCATGGGTGGCAGCATGGAAGATTCCTGAATGTCAGAGGAGGAGCAGGGCCCAGAACAAACGGGTGCTGGGTTCCTGTCACCCCATGTGCCAGCACCGCCAGGGCAGCCTGTGGCACTGGCACAGACTGGATCCACAGCCCTGACCTTTGGCTCACACCCTAGCGGCCACCCTTCCATACCCCTATCCCACAGCATCGCTGAGACCCGCCTGTCCTCCTGCTTTCCCCAGGACGGCTCAGCCAGTGGCCATCCATCCCTTGGACCTCCCTTGACGGACCCTGCACCCCGTACCCCCAGGCGCTGGCCACTCTCCCCTATAAGGGCCGGGGCAGCGTGTGGCACCGAGCTGACCTCATGCCTTTGTGCTCTCTCTGGCGTTGACTATAATAGGGAATGGGAGGAAGAGCCCCTGGCCCCCTGCCAGCCCTCCTGCCAGGAGTGCAGGACAATCTTCCCACTTGGCCACACTGGGATTGGGGACAGCGAGGGCGGACATTTCCACTGGGGGATGGGGTTCCCTCTGAACCCACCTAACCCCTCCCTTTCTGCCTGCAGGCTGCAAGAGGAGATCCAGCTGAAAGAGGAGGCTGAGAACAACTTGGCTGCTTTCAGAGCTGTGAGTACCCATCCCTCTGTGCAGCATGGGACCCCCGCCTCCCCTCCCATTCCCATCAACCCTTGGCAGGCCGGTCTCAGCACTGAGGCATGTCCCTGGGCACATGGGTCCCATCCCTCGTGGTTCCCCACACCTTTCCCCCTACCCTGCACTCTGTGTCCTCCCAGGACGTGGACGCGGCCACGCTGGCACGCATCGACCTGGAGAGGCGCATCGAGTCCCTGCAGGAGGAGATTGCCTTCCTCAAGAAGGTGCACGAAGAGGTAGGACAGTGGCAGCCCCATTTCCCATGAATATCCATGGGGCCAGGGGATGGAGTGGGTGCCCTGAGGTGTCACCTTGTCCTCCCAGGAAATCCGGGAGCTGCAGGCTCAGCTGCAGGAGCAGCACATCCAGGTGGAGATGGACATCTCCAAGCCCGACCTGACGGCTGCGCTGAGGGACATCCGTGCCCAGTACGAGAGCATCGCTGCCAAGAACATCGCCGAGGCCGAGGAGTGGTACAAGTCCAAGGTGCGGGAGGTGGCAGACTCCAGGCTGGCCCTGGTGTGGTGGGTCCCAGCCATCCCGGTGGCCATGCCCACTGACCTGGGTCTCTCCCCAGGTGTCTGACCTGACACAAGCGGCCAACAAGAACAATGACGCACTGCGACAGGCAAAACAGGAGATGCTGGAGTACCGGCACCAGATCCAGTCCTACACCTGCGAGATCGATGCCCTCAAGGGCACGGTGAGCCATGGGCAGTGTTGGGGAGACCCCCAGCCTCCCTGCAAGGACCTAGGGGTTGCTCAAGGACCTTTGGGACATCTCTGGGGTGGGGGGCTCTTCCCAGCTCTCTGAGTTGCTGCCATGGACCCGCAGGGACTCATCCCCCAGATTTAGGCTGCATCTTCCCCAGACTGGGCCTCTGTGAGGTGTTTTGGCAGAGCCCTGGGGTCAAGACACAGATTGCAAAAGGTGCTCCAGGGTGAAAGGCTCCAGGCAGGCGGGCGCAGGCCTCGGGGTGTCTGGTTGCAGGCTGGGAAGGTGGTTGCAAACAAACAGGGCACAACATTCCTGCCCCAGCACGGTTACAGTCACAGGAGCCAGCCAGCAGTCACCAGTGTGGCAGTGCCACCCCCAGGCAGCTGTCTGGTGCTCCTGCACCTCTCTGCACCCTCCTGCTGGGGTGGAATGGCTTTGCTGAGGGGCCTGGGCACCCAAAGAGAGAGTGCTGAGGTTGCCCAGCACCCATCCAGCTTGGCCCCACCAGATCCTGCTGCCCAGGGCTGACAATGGCTCTCCCCGGGTCACTGGCTCTCCCCTAGGACCCCCCAGGATCCCCAGATCCCACCCCAGGTGACCCCTGGCCCCTCCAGGTCCCCTCCCTCGCTGAGTCCCCCTGTGCCCCCAGAACGACTCGCTGATGCGCCAGATGCGGGAGATGGAGGAGCGCTTCGCAGGCGAGGCCGGCGGCTACCAGGACACCATCACCCGGCTGGAGGAGGAGATCCGGCACCTGAAGGATGAGATGGCCCGGCACCTGCGCGAGTACCAGGACCTGCTCAATGTCAAGATGGCCCTGGACGTGGAGATCGCCACATACCGCAAGCTGCTGGAGGGCGAGGAGAGCCGGTGAGTGGCAGGAGTCGGGGGGAACAGCAAAGTCAGCTGTGAGCTGCAACCCAAGGGCTAGGGCTGGCTGGCACTGAGCTCTCCCCTCTGTGTCCCCACAGGATCAGCATCCCCATGCACCAGACCTTTGCCTCTGCACTCAATTTCCGAGGTGAGCATTGCTCCATGAAGACAGAGTCCTGGGACAAGTCCCTGGGGGTCTCATGTATGGGGGAAAAATCTCCCTTTTTTGGGGCTGCAGCCAGGCTGGTGGGTTGGGGACCCATGGGTGCCGCACTGAGGCCCTGGTATGCAGATATTCTCTTGGGTGCTGCTATGAGCTGACAGGGGTTGAGCCAGGGCTCCTGAAGCCCCCTAGCAGCCCCAGCCCCACTGCTGTGTCCCTACACCACGTGTCCCCATGGTCCCATCCCCTGTGTCCCCCCTGCCTGCAGAGACCAGCCCAGAGCAGCGTGGCTCCGAGGTGCACACCAAAAAGACCGTGATGATCAAAACCATCGAAACCCGCGACGGCGAGGTGAGCGCAGGGCGTCACGGGGGGTCACAGAGGGGCTGAGCATGGCCCCCGTCCCTGTGCTCAGTGCTCCAGCGCTGGCCTGGTGTGGCGTCTGACAGTGCCTCTCTCCTGGCAGGTGGTGAGCGAGGCGACCCAGCAGCAGCATGAAGTGCTGTAGAGGAGGCTGCTCTGGCAGCCCACCGGCACCTTCCA